GAGATGGCAAGAAAGGGTGCGGATGTCATTATCGTGGGATGTGCCGGTAAGAAGTGGATTGCACCCTTAATTCTGGAGAAATGACTCACTAACGACCAAATTTTCAGGAATGGCAGGAATGGAGAGCGATTTGGAAGCCGGTGCAATCGAAGCAGGAGCTCGTACAGTCATCATTGTTGACGGTATACGCGCGGGAATTAAATTACTTGCAAGCTTAATATAAGGAACATTGGAGGCACTGCACACTGTTGGGGGTGATGGGTAATAAGGGCCAACGAGAATTATGAAGAGATATCAATGTGGTAAATATTTAGAAGGGAATTTCAGCGTAAAGCTGGGCAGGATATTATGTATATGCACACAGGACCTAAAGCTGCTACTTTATGGTATATAGTTGAAATCGTAATAATATGGGTGACTATGATGAAACTTCGAATGGAATTACGAAGTATCTAGTAGGAAGAAAATATTAGGAACTTAGTCGAGAGATAAATGAAATTAGCTGTGAATAAGCGTGATGGAAGGAGGGAAATGGGTCGAAGAGTGACGGAACCATGCTTCTTTCATAAAGATATATTCCGTTACTAGCCTTCTATTCCTAATGATATAGGGGCATGTGGTTTAGTGGTATAACATTCGCTTAGCATTCATTGCTTGCGAAAGGTCCGGCGTTCAATTCGCCGCTTGTCCATACTTCATTTTATTTTATGATGTTTTATCTAAATATCCCGCGTGTGAAAGAGCAAATTCGCAACCTCCCCTCTCCCTAAAGAAATTATCCCAAAACATATTTAAATTATCTGCAAGTCATCGCGGTACCCTTCTTTGTGTAGACCCATGAGAAAGTATTTACAAGCCTGCTGAAGGAAAATTAAAAAGATATGCGTGGGGTGGGTCCCAGTGGCTGGTCCCGCCTTTCCGAAATCAAGGACCTCTTCGGAGAACACAACGCAGGTCCCAAGAGTCACAGTATGTACCATATAATTCAAAAGAGTTAAAAGAAGGCTGGACAAGCGGCGGATCGAACACCGAGCCTTTCTCAAGCTATGGATGCAAAGCGAATGTTATACCACTAAACTACATGCACGATGAGATTGCAATGGGACGAAGCAGACACCTTCGGTCTTTTGAAGAATTTTGCCTAGTTTTTCGTCAGCCGATTATTTTAACTAATTTAAATTTACATCTCCAGAATACTGTCTGAAGGATTCCCCAACGATGGGCTCATAAATGAATGTATTCCATTTTTATAGTTACATCAGGCCATTTATGGCCTATGTCGCAACTATCAGAAGTACTTATATACATTTGTTCAATATATCTACACCTCAGCGGGAATTCTCGTCCCGAAGTCCCTTCTTCTCAGCAAGGGCACCTCGGCCAGCCACAGAGGGAGGGTGAACACCAGACGAGCTATGCCCCTCTGGTGCCGGTCGGTCTCCCCCGACTTTTACCCTGAGCGTCGGCAGGGCTTCCCACTCATGGAGCTGGAACCCTATGTGGACCGGGAGGAAAACGGAGGAAAACGGCGGAGGATGACGGTGTGGTTTCCTGTAAGTTCGTGCTTTGGATTGGATGCGTGTCGATATTGGCAGTGCATATAGGGCATGTGGTTTAGTGGTATAACATTCGCTTAGCATTTTCATGTTGCGAAAGGTCCGGCGTTCAATTCGCCGCTTGTCCATATATTTTTATTTTATTTTGTTTTAGGGGTACTCTAGTATCCCGACTTCTTCGCCCTCATTACAAATAAGTGGTAAATACATCACTGTTCGCCTATATATACTCCATTATAGAACCAGCGAAAGAGATATAAACTGAAGGATAGCTCAAGATAAGCACTCTTATCCAAACCAGTAAATTAGATGCAGGGTACGGGTGTGTGGCAGGGGCGTTTACGGCCGATATATTCGGCCGTACTGCTACTGCAGCATTACCCCTTCTCCAGAGTGGTCAAAATATTGCCACAATATTGATTAAGACGTAAGTACCATGCTCTAAATGGCATGCCTCATTAAAAGTACAGAAAACGTTCCAGTGATTTGACGTGTGTTTCTTGTGTTTCAACTTTCAACGCCGTTGGTTTAAAAAAAATCATGATCACTTGGTAGGATGCATCACAAACCATATACTGTACTCGAATGAAAATATATTTGATTTTTACAGATATAGTTCAGTCTTTGCACAATAGAAGTCCCCGACATCCGAAAAAATTCGAGCGATTCAGAAAAGAAACCGGAAGGGGCAATCCGTGACCGTCACGTCACGTCACGCAGCAGAGTGCTGTGTTTGGTAGGTGTTGCTCCTTGCCAATTCCCTTCAAAGTAAAATTATATGATATATAGACCATATTATTTATTAATTATGTGTATGTAAGTGTACTTAGTATTTAAGCACTTCAAGTTGTCTTTATCCGAGTCTGCCTCAGCTTTCTCCAAGTCGCAGGTTTCGTCGCAATTCCATTATAGATGCAGAATCAGCAAAAATACCATAGGAGGGCTTCGTCAATTCATCAATAATTTATTAAATTCGTTGATAGAGGTGGCATGTTGCGAGGTACACCTCCCACAGGGTCTCAAGTTAACATGGGCATGTGGTTTGGTGGCATAATATTTGATTAACACTCTTTGCTTGCGAAAGGTCCGGCGTTCAATTTGCCGCTTGTCTAATATCTTTTTATTTAATTTAATTTATTTATGTAAACACCTGAACTTCTCAGAAGGGTCTATTAACAATTACCCCCGGTTTGGAACCGTGAACGGTGAATCCGTAGATACTCGTGGCGCATCTCTGCCTTATTCTTTAGTCCCATAGGATATTTATCTTTTTTTGGAATCCTTGACAAAATGGATTTAAAGTTTGCTACCTAAAACGAGGCGCCATCCGCCAGCCAGTGAACATTCAATACTATCAAATACTACCACGCGTCTCTAGGCCAGGGTCGCCCATAGCTCATATAACCGCAGAGAAACACAGATATAAACCAAGTAACGGATAAAGATTCATATAAAAAATCTTATTAAAAGGCAGGTGTGATCGTATTGCCAGTAAATTGATGGGCACGGCGCACCGTTTACGGCCGATATGTTCGGCCGTCGGTGGCAGCTGCCAGACTATCTATTGAAATTAGAGAACATTATCAAAGGTGTGTTTACTTCCTATGATTCTTCCGCATATCAAATAAGCTAGAATCGAGATTTCAACCGCTTTGAAGTGATTATTAGATGGTACGTACTTTGGATACTCGGGATACTCCCCGCCCCTGCACAAGGATGGCACGCTTCTCTAGAGTGGATGACCTTCGGGAGAGTTCGGGTGGCATTTTCTTCCTCTTAAAATCCGTTCGGTCCCTTAATCAAAAAGAATCGCGTCCGACGACGCGGAAAACCCGTCTTGCGTAAAGCGCTAAACGCGAGGAAATCGAAGAAAATAAATATTGCGACCCGAAGGTCGTCCACTCTGGAGAACCGTGTCATACTTGTGCAGGGGCCATGCTAATCGGACGGCGACGGTAGACGAAACGAATGGCGGGATGAATGATATAGGCAATGGTATGGACAGGGTCGATGAGCGGGAAGGGAGACAACGAGCGATGGACCAATGGTGACGAGCAACGACGACGGACGCGACGCGTGGGAAAATTCCTGTGTGCAAAGTTCAAAGGTCAATGGATGGCTGCGGCGATAGAACGGCCAGCGGTGGTGTGGACGGCGAACAGTGAATGATGACGAGGCGACGGCCAATGAGCAGCGTCGCCGATACGGTGGCGGTGCACGACGGGGACAAGCGTGGGACAATTAGACTTATAAAAATTAAATACAAAAGTAAATAAACAATAGAAAGGATTTACCAAAATATTATGGGGTTGAATGGCAGTGAGGAACAGCGATGACTACGAGCGAGGAATGGCGACAATGAGCGGGCAGCAGTGAGAACAGTGACGACGGCGAGACACGGTGTTGAAAACGATGAAAAAGCCTCTTCAGTTTCGCGTCGCTGTCGCTCTGTAAAAGTGAAAAAGACATCTCTGTATCGTATGTCACCCCGAAGGGGTCATTACATGGTGGAGAACTTCCAGGTTGACCGTCGGGCTTCGATACAGGCTGTCGAGCGCGGGCGCCGGGACTCAGAAGACTTTGAAACTGCGACACATCTTCTATTACGCCTCGGACTTACATTATATTTACATTATATGGTGCATTATGATACAAATATTTTTTCAGACGAGCGAAGGATCGGAAAGAAGTTCCATGGGAAGTTTTCGGCGCAGGACAAGGACGGACGCTTATACAGTTTTCAACTGCGCTCAAGATCGAATGAAGTCTCGCAACACGAACTCATATAATCAGTCTTGAATGACGTCTTCAAATCAAATTTGTCTTATCATCCCGAAAATTCTAGGAGATAACACCAGCACCCGAGCACGAGGATTGTTTGGGCAGCGGTACGGGCTACTTTAATTGTAGTACTGCTGACTATTTATCTTGAAGCGTTCTCAATTCAATAAATCACTAAACTATGTGAATACTACCGGGATGTAAAGTCAGCCAAGCTACAGAAGCATTGATAATTATGAAATACATCATTATGCCAGGTGATCAATTGCCATTACACTGCATCTATGCATATAATAAACCCAATTATCACCCAATTATCACTTCGAGCCTTTGCCTTCCTGGGGAGGGGTCATTAGAGCGCATTATATGCATAGATGCAGTGTAATGGCAATTGAATGGGCGAGATCATCTGGCGAATGTGATGTGACAGGCTGATTATATTTCATAATTCGAAATAGTTGTGTAAGGTTGGCTGAGCTGCACCCCTGCCGTAGCAAGGGGCAGTGCTAAGCGAAAGGGTAAGGGTTTGCGGAGACACGTCTAGACACGTACTATCCTTTCCGTAGACTTGAAGACTTCCCTTGCATGATACCGAGTTGGACATAGTTTTCATTTTCGATGTAAATCACCACTGAGAAGCAAGGTGAGCCATGATTAAATACAAAAGAAAACCAATTACTGAACTCTTTATGTAATGCTTCTGAGCGAAGGAGATGAGCGAGCGCATGAGGCTGGAAGGTCCGAGTGCAATGGCTCTCAACCGTCGTATCGTTCCAATTTTTTCGCGTGTCACGGTCCACTTGCCACTTCAACTGTAGTTTATTAAAATTTATCTGATCAAATATTCGAGTAGTGGCTTTCATTACCCTGAAATCGAAGTTGTAGAGTGATATTACTCTGAATTATACTCCTATAATGCTATAGTTTCGGTATATATATATAGCGGATCATGCTGAAAGCGACTCCATACGTGTCAAATAGATGAACTTAGAACTTTGAATCTAGGCTATAATATACTTTCGAAGCTAAATTATTGAACATAGAACCACAGAATGACCCTTCTATAGGTCTAGTTAGGTACGTATACTTAAGACCGCGTCAGTGGAGGGTAATAGACGAATTAATGATCATCGGACATCTTAATATGGGATTTTGGATGATCCAATATGGGTCCGAGGAGGATTCTGCCTATTTGATTGATGCTGTCAGAGCCACAAATGGTTATGATTTTCTCTCCCTGTATTTTTGAAACTTCGAAGTACGAGCGCCGACGTCAAACACCGAGGTACGTGATGAAGTACAAGCGGCTTCAGGCTGGCATCGGTAGCCTTTGACACACAGGTACATGCATACATGTCAGAAGAGGGAGTTTCAGCGACATCCTGCGACATCGAACCCTTATGACTCCTTGGTCAAAGCGTCACAATGACATGGAACGGTTATTGCCACTTGCATAGACTTATATGCGTTGACGTGTCTGTCA